CATTTGCTGTCATGTTAAACTTATATTAAAGTTTTTCTTCATTACCCATTTAAGCCGTCTCCAGCCATTATTACTTAACAACGTTCTTTACACGAGCGCCGGTTTCGACACTGGTAGAATTTGTTATTTTGACTGTAATTAGACTTCTGCCAAATCATTTAATGTGATTAGTTAAGAGTTGGGAAGAAGAGACTGCTGATGCCACCCAGTAAATGCGAAATTAATTGTGTGTCAGTCTTTCCAATAAGCGTTCAGTGGGCAGAGGAATGTAGTTACTTTAAATATGATTATCGTTGTGTCCTTTAAGCATACAAAGTTGAAGTAGGAACAGAGAACGTATAGACGTTAGTGTATCGACAAACCAAAGCAAAGTTTAACGCTTCGACTGTAAAATTGTTCTGAAACCTTGAAACTAATGAAATAAGTTTATGACGTAGCTGTAATTAGCAATATAATGAAAATTAAAACAAGAATCAACAATTTCACTATACGCCTACGAAGGGAAACTTTAATAAAACGAACAGTTTAAACAAATGAATAGAACTGAACATAGAGACGATAAACGAAATAACTTTGCTACTCCACACTATATCATATCAACTATAGTAGTTGATAAATGTATGTGTTTTTCAAACTGATGAATGAAAGATATTAGGAATCTAATATAATAGACGATTTAGAAAAGTGTATTACATCAAAACACACGAAAGTGTACTTTATCCTGTTGATAAAAAGTGTACTGTAAAACTGTAAGAGTTTGTGTGCAGGTTCCTAGCGTTGTAAGTTCGCAGACATACCACTGTGCCACTAGGGGGCGCAAGGATAAGTAAAAAGATATAACATACTGGTAAGTGAAATATTATAAATTACCAATGCATGAAATTCAGTTGTACATAAATGCATAGATTGTGGAAAAATAAGTGGATAATCGTACAGTACAGTCAGAAACTGACTAGTTCTTTGTTTTAGGCTAAAAGACAGCATAGGCCTACACTGCCCTGCCAGAAGTACCTGAACGTAGAAATAAATTAGGCGATTTTGAATACAGAAATGCACCAATGAGATTAGTAGTGATGAAGTGTGAACAAGATGTCAAAATGGTATTTTGAAAAAACAAAACAAAAACTTATAGACTAGTGAAGGTAAGGAATTTCAGCTTGTGAGTAGTCATAAAACAAGATAAGCCAACGGTACTGGGGGCTTGGTAATAGATGTATACTAAGAAAATGATAAACGTTCAAATATGGTATTATTTGGAATTATCAGAAATAATCTTTGCATTCACATTCCCAAAATTAATTATTAGCAACAGGTGTTCAGGAAAAATTATTTTTCAATTTCAAAAACTCACTACTGAAAGCATAGGTGAATATATTATAATATTATCTGTTTGTTTTGAACTTAAGCACAAAGCTACACAATGGGCTATCTGTGCTCTGCCCACCACGGGTATCGAAACCCGGTTTCTAGCGTTGTAAGTCCGCAGACATACCGCTATGCCACTCCCGGTTTCTAGCTTTGTAAGTCCGCAGACATACCGCTGTGCCACTGGGGGCATTATGTTGTTTGTAATTAAGCACAAAGCTACTCAATGGGCTAGCTATGCTCTACCCACCACGGGTATCGAAACCCGGTTTCTAGCGTTGTAGGTCCGCAGACATACCGCTGTGCCACTGAGGGGGGGGCGTTATAATATTTTAATCACGTTACATCTGCTATTGCCAACGAGTCCTTTCGCCTAATCACAGGACTCATCAGGCTAGCTTGGATACTAAAGATATAGTAGTGGTCTAGGCGCACCAATTTTCATGAACAATAACGGTTATGGTGTGAATCAGATCGAGTGAGTGAACTGTAATTATTATCAATTTTACTTAAATCATTTACACATCACTTTTCATGAACAATAACGGTTATGGTGTGAATCAGATCGAGTGATTGAACTGTAATTTGTTTGTTTGTTTTGAATTTCGCGCAAAGCTACACAAGGGCTATCTGCGCTAGCCGTCCCTAATTTAGCAGTGTAAGACTAGAGGGAAGGCAGCTAGTCATCACATCTTGGGTTACTCTTTTACCAACGAATAGTGGGATTGACCGTCACATTATAAAGCCCCCACGGCTGAAAAAGCAAGCATGTTTGGTGGACCGGGGATTCGAACCCGCGACCCGCAAATTGCGAGTCGAACTCCCTAACCACCTGGCCATGCCGGGCCAAAGAAATGCACGTCATATTCTAGAGTCGTGTTTGTTTGAAGTTAAGCACAAAGCTACACAAAGAGCTGGCTGTGTTTTGCCCACCACGGGTATCGAAACCTGGTTTCTGGCGTTGTAAGTCTGCAGACATACCGCTGTGCCACTGGGAGCGAATATGTTATGTTAACCACACTAGATCTGCCATAACCAGTACCGACGAGGGCTATAGCCAAATACTAGGGTTGATCAGACATACTTATGACAGACACAATAGAGGCGCTATATATGTAATTAGTTTTCATCAACAAAGACTATTATGGTATAAACCAGATAAGCAAGTGAATTGTATTTATCATCACTATTTATAACCAGTGTAGCTCTCTTCAATAACAGTATATTGAAACCAAACATAAAAGATCTTGGAGTTATATTAGACTTTGATAAATATCCAATAAGTCTGAATAAAGATCTTGAGCTGCTATCTTTCTACTTTTCTATCTTCTCAGCTATCGGATAAAGGAATACGTATTACATACGGAGTGCAATGACTGGCTTGACTTTAGTTTATTTTTCCTTATATTATATTAGACACAACTAGTCACCACTGTCTATTAGCACCGGATTATAGTACTTTCTAAAGGTTCATCTAACTGATCTTGTTGATTTCAGGGGGAAATAAGTTTCAGCACAAATATGTCGCTGTTAACTCGTTATATTTCTCTTGGAATGCAAGTGGCCCTCACAAATACTTTAACCTACATGTAAAACTATATTATAATGCCTATAACTATAGTTTATAATAACGAAATTTAACTATGCCTTCGTTGTTTTATTGTAGTATGTTTTATGTTCTAGAAAACAAATAAAAGCTCTCCAGTGGCACCGTGGTATGTCTGCGGACTTACAACGCTAGAAACCAGGTTTCGATACCCGTGGTGGGCAGAGCGCAGATAGCCCAGTGTGTAGCTTTGTGCTTAACTTCAAACTAATAAAAAAATAAAAAAATGAATTCAAACAAGAACGACGATGTTGGTGCTGCCATCTTTAGGCTTGTTTTATATATTCTATTAGGAAAAACAAATTCTGTTGTATAATTGAAAATATTGCCTATTATCAGATATACAGAATATTATTTACATAGTACAACATTTCAATGGGTAAACGTGGCATCATCAGGTTCAGCAACTACAATGAGTAAATTAGTAACCTAGAAAATAATGGAAAACTAGCGGATGCGTACATTTGTATTTGATTGTTTAGTGAAGCAGAGAACCGCTGCTCCTGGAAATGTCAAGGTATTCTTGCGACTTATAACTGTATTTATCCAAATAGTGCATAAAATGTCCCGCAAAAAAAATAACTAACAAAAAATTTGAGTACATCGTATAAACATCATCTATGCTGGAAGAAACTCAACAGTGCTTATGGCGATATAATATTACAGAGAACGTATAGATACTAATTAGATGTTTGTTCAGGTCACGTGATCAAATCCGATCAGAATTAAAGGTCAACTTTAGTGGGTAAACAGAAGGTTCAAGAATGTTGATTTTGTTATAAATTAATTCCATTATCTTTAAGAGTAAGATAAGTGTACAGACATACATTATCCTAAATTATATGACATTTACTTCCTTTTAATTAAAATGTGTCTAACTTTCTTATTACACTGTAAAGTCATCCTAAAAATAAGAAAGATTGTTTGTTTGTTTTGAATTTCGCGCAAAGATACACGAGGGCTATCTGTCCCTAATTTAGCAGCGTAAGACTAAAGGGAAGGCAGCTAGTCATCACCACCCACCACCAACCAGTGCTACTCTTTTACCAACGATTGACCGTCACTTATAACACCCCCACGGCTGAAAGGGCGAGCATGTTTGGTGTGACGGGGATTCGAACGCGCGACCCTTAGATTGCGAGTCGAGCGCCCTAACCACCTGGCCATGCCGGGCCCCTTAGCACTTAGTAATAAAAATACAGCAATATTTACAAGTGGTTTATGAGAACGATGTATATTATTCATGTATACAAAGCCTAAACAAAGAGCATCACATGGGACATGCTTAAGGAACTGAGAGAAATTTTTTAAATAATGCCAAACTATTATGTAAAACAAAAAAAGGCTTAGTGAAAACGTCTCGTAACACATACTTCAGATGTTAACTTTCCAAGTTAACATTTGTTTTGTAAATGTCTTCATTAACAAGTACAGGTTCCTACAGAGAGAAAAAAAAAAAAAAAAGAAGTTCGTGTTTTTCCATTTTTGTCTGTACTGTATACTAAGCTTAAGTTAATAATTGTATAAACGATCGGTTTTCTCTAATTATGTTTTGTTTTTATAAATAAGGAGAAAAATTACCCTGATGATTTCAGTTCATTTTGTTATTTTTTTTTCTAACAGCTGAATATTTACTAATTAACTAAAAAGACAAACAAAAAAAACTTGGAATTTTGGGTAAAAATTTTTTCTCTCGAATTGTTAAAGATAATACTGAATTTCCACACGTTTCAAACACAAAATCAAGAATGCATTACATAATATATATATATATATTAAATTCATCATACCACAAAATTTAAATCAGGTGCAAAACTTGTGTATCAAGAATCTCTTGTATTGGGGAAGCTATACCTCAGATAACTAAAACAGACAGGTTACAAATCCAGTACGAATGAAAGGTTGAGTGCATAGCTTTGTTTTTTTGTGATGCCTATGAGAAGTCGGGTGATGAAGACACGGTTGTTATGGATGCTGGAGCGTTTCTTTGACAGAATAGTCCCTCGTGTGCATGGCATTTCTAAATGTCTTTCCTGCGAAAACAGAAAAAAGCTGTAAAGTAGCGACGCTTGTAAAGTTTTAGCCACATACGAATGTGCATGGTTGAGAAGGACACGAAGACTTTTTTTATTTAGTCAGTGACATCATTTTTTATTGTAATGGATGGGATTAAGACACTACAGTCCTCGTAAAGTTAAAAAAGAAGTTCCGAAAAAATGGATGTTTTGTGTGAAACTACTACAGATTTTTTCAGAACCTCCTGAGATTTTATTCACATCAAAATGGTTATTCAAATCTAACTTTTTCACTGGCTCTACATACACTAACCGAGAGTTACTTCACCACGTACTGCATTCTTCACACATTTATTACATTATATAAACATTTTCCTTATGATTAAAAGCACTGGGAGCGGATTAATTTTTGTAATTATTTTAATGAATTTCAGGTCAGGATGGTTCCTATTATTTAGTGATGCGTCAATATTGCAAAGCAAACTTCTCGAAACGAAAAACATAAACACACAAAAATTGTCTCAAAAGATTCATTTTCAAAACAGCAGCAATAAAAATACTGTAGTAATAAACACTCATTAATCATACTAAACATAACCTCCTACCAACAAAACATATTTTAGTTTTAAAGGTTACTAAACTAAAATGTATGTTTGACTTGGTATTTTCTAATCGAGCAAAATATTACGTTAGTAACTTACTAAAATGTACTTATCTGTAAAACTAAATGCGCAGATTATTATTAACTTCAAATCTTTTAAATATCTGAGCTAGCCGTCCCTAATTTAGCAGTGAAAGACTAGAGGGAGGGCAGCTAGTCATCACCACCCACCGTCAACACTTGGACTACTCTTTTACCAACGAATAGTGGGATCGACTGTCACTTTATAACGTCCCCACTGCTGAAAGGGCGAGCGTGTTTGGTGGGATGGGGATTCGAACCCGCAACCCTCAGATTGTGAATCGAGCGCCCTAACCACCTGGCCATGCCAAGCCTTTTCTACGGGAATACATTCTGGCTTTGAATACACTAAATGATTTCCATTCTTTACCACTCTTTCTGTTAGCAAATTGTAGCAATCCAAACAAATCGGTATTACAAATTGGAGTACAAATATTGATGCGTTTATTAACAAAACAAAGAAGACTTTTGAAAATCACGAGAAAAACACCAATAAAAAAGTACACATCGTGATCTTTCACATAAGGATAAAGGTTTCTCCCATCCAAACCATAATGAAACGCTAGAAACCGGGTTTCGATATCCGTGGTAGGCAGAGCACAGATAGCCCATTGTGTAGCTTCGTGCTTAATTACAAACAAACTCATACTAATATTATCTGTGAACGGCTGATTAATAACTCCAACAATGAAACACACTGAATTGTCTACTAAAATAGATTCTACTTTCGACTCCACTAACTTAGTCATTTTTGAATCCGATCGACCCAAATCCAAGAACACTTCCAATGTCGTCAATCTGTCCTCTAAAATACTAACTGAAACTCAACACAAACTACTCAGAAAATGTCTTAATTTTTCTCCTAAAACATAGAGAGCTTTGAAGTCATTTCCGCCCTACAAGAATTTGCACGCTCATTAAGACCGATAATTTTTTCACAATCAAACCAATGAGAGAAGTAACCTCAACTCCCAGTTTAAAGACAAACCTTTCTGGTCACCCCCGGCCAACAGGGAATCACATCTAGTGTTTTATCACTGCAGTTGAAAATAGAGTAATTCAAGCCATCAACTCCGACTCAAAAGTGGGAAACAATCTCTCCTATAGTGAACATACTGCTCTAATTTCACTAAAACGTGTAAATGAAATTATTATTAAACCAGCTCTGATAAGGGCGGCGCCACTGTCGTTCAAAGTAAGTCAGACTACATCAACGAGGCTTACCGACAACTTAATGACACAAATCACTATAAAAAAGTGGATTTGGACCCCACACCGCAATTTGTTAAAATTATCGAAGATTTGCTATATAGCTTACAGAAAAGCCAACACATCTGTCCTAAAACGTTACAGTTCCTTTCACCTAAACACTCAGTTCCAGGTTGCTTTTACATATTACAAAAAGTACACAAACCCAACAATTCTGGTCGTCATAATTGCGGTATGCCTAGTGAAAACTTATCACCTTACGTTGATCACCACATAAAAGATATACCCCCACGTTTGACATCGTACATTAAATAAAGACACAATACATTTTCTGACCAAGATCTCTGACATTAACAGCAACGAAAAACTTCCTCCAAACACTATTCTCTGTACTATGGGTGTTTCTTCTCTCTAAACAAACATTCCCCACGACAAAGGACTAAAAGCCCTAGAACCTTCTCTGATAAAACTAAACAAACCCAACACTCAAATTGTTTAAGACTTAGCTGAACTAGTACTTACACTTAACGGTTTTTAATTTAATAATGAGTTCTATATTCAAACAAAAGGCACAGCTATGGGCACCAAACTATGCCGACATTTTAATGGGAGAATTAGAGACGAGACTCTTGGAAAGTTGCACAGACAAACCAACGTTTTTGGAGACGCTGCTTTTTTTTTCATTTGGGTAGAAGACAAAGATTCATTACTGTCTTTTTATAGATGTGCCAACACCTTCCACCTTCTATTACATTTACTCTAGATTACTCCACTACCAAAATAAGAGTCTTAGATGTAAACCTAACATTAAAAGATGGTGTTCTACATACTGATTTGTACCGAAAACCAACGGATTAAACATAATAGTTATATAATCAAAGTTTTTACCCAAACCAAATATCACTTTCAACCAAGCACTTAGATTAAAGAAGATATGGCATGACAGTAAGAACTATAACCGTCACATTAATTCTTTGAAACAGACTATGACTGAAAGAGATTATAAACAAAACACTATCATCCAACAACCTGACAAAGCTAACAATATACCACATGAATCTGCGTTGAAACAATTACCTAAAATAAATTCTTCTCGTGTTCCACTGGTTATTACCTCTCACCCCAAACAAAAAAACTACCCCGGACACTAAAAAACTTTTAACTCCTTCAACTTAATGATCGACCAAAATCCATTTTTTACAGAAGTTCCTGTCGTTTCTTTCAAAAAAACAAAACTATGCATTCACAGTTAGCTCATGCTAAAGTTAACTTTAAGTCGACACCAGATGGAAGTCATCCTTGCAATTGCAAGCGATGCCAAGCCTGCAAATTTATGTACGAAACGGACAAATTGTCTGATAAAGACAACCAAAAGCAGTTCAAAATCACTAAACCCATAACCTGCTCTACAAAAAAACGTAATTTACTTAATCCAATGCCGAAAATGAAACGTCCAATATGTAGGTCAAATCAAAACAACTATACAGGAATGTTTTAATAACCGCAAATCAACAATAAAAACAAATAACTTCTGGTCGCAAATTACTTTAACATGCCTGGACACTCCCTTAATGACATTAAACTAACGGGTATAGAGACAAATTTTACATTTAACAGAAGGAGAGAAATTAAATAAGCTTACTGGATAGCACTATTAAATACTGTAAAGGCAAATGGCATCAATCTCGAACCCGATATTGTTGACCTTCGTATGTCGTAAAAGATTTTCAAAAGTAAATTCATAATTTAACTTTAACATGCCATACTTTGATTACCAAGGCTTGGATATAATTTGTTGCAGATCTCTTTCTGGATGATCTTTATGTTCCAATTTTATCAATACTCTTTTGTTTTCTAATGCCATTAATAACAAAGGATATATCTGTTTTGGAAATTATGAAGGCATCTTTGTGATCTGAGTATAAGAACATTTTGTGTCAGAGAGGGTTGTTACATATCTTTCCTGAAATCAATCATACAACCTGACTAACAATTTCAAATTGTAGTTCTGATAAATACCATTTCACTTTATATCAGCTGTGACTGTCACATGACTTGCATATTCAAAATCATATTAATAAAATGTACTCAACCCTCTGTAGTAATCAGATATTTATTTCAAGGTTTTTATTTAGTACTATAAGTGAACTTCTCAAGATTACATTCAGTACTATACAGCAGACAAACACGGATTATGAAGTCTTATTTACTTCCTTGTAGTTACTATAGACTAATGTTTATGATTTATTATGCATATAAATTAATCACAGTTTGGAGTTACTTTTAAAACTACTTAATAGTAACCATCTAAGGATTTTTGTTAACAAAGATCCAGTGACCAAAGTAATATGGATTCTAACTAATATACAGTGACTGAAAGACTGTTTTTCTCTTGTTAACTACAATAAATGACCAGAAATTAATTTGTTCTTTGTTACCTACTGCTAGTATATAACTATTATAATTGATTTTGAGCTTCTTGTTAAATATTTTAGTGACCATGGACTGATTCTGAGATTTTTTATTAATTACGAAAATAAAGAAATATATTTTGTCAACTATTATACAGAGACCACAGACTGATTTTCCCATCTTTCGACCCTGCAGCTAAAAGCCGTGAATACCTTCCAACGGATGAAGTGGAAAATTGAAGTGCTTCAACAGTTCCACCATGATAATCAAGCACTGCAAGAGGTTTCATTGTTTTCCAGGAAAATATACGGAGCCTCTTATCCCAACCACCTGTTGCTACAATTTTTGCATCTGAACGGATAGCTACAGCAGAGATGCCAGGGTTAGTCACCATAACTTTTTGTTTCATTTTAAGCTGACTAGGTTGAATTAATTCCCACAGAGACAAGTCTTTATCGGCAGAGCCACTGACTCCTTGGTGGCGGTAACATTCATCAAAATCGAGACAAATGACCGGTTCATTGTGACATTTCATTTCTGAGATAATCTGCCTATTTCTCCAATCCCACAATGCAACAGAACCACTTTCATAGCCACATAAAAGTAGGTTCTTTCCTTCAAGTACTTGTGTGTTTAAAAGTTTCATACACATACACATTCCAAATTTCTGGTCTTCACCTGCCTTTTGTTGAAGTGAAGCAACCTCCTGGTTGGTTTCAACATCAAGAACTTTGACTCTTGTTGGATCTTCATCTGGATATGCAAGGTATAGAGGGAAAGCACTACCTAGGCTACACTTACAAAAACCAACACCAGGGGCAGCAACAGATCCTGGAATATTCAACAAAATATGTTACATATTTTCATCATCTTGAATAAACATTATTGTTTTTATTTGCAGTTATTCAAAAAATGGTACAGTCGTAAAAGAAATAAATAAAATTCCTCTTATAATTTTGATGTCCAAACCAAGTATAATTGTAAATACCTCAAAGCTTTACATAAGAAATTTTGAAATGACACTACAAAGTACACACTTTATTCATCACATTTTCTAAGTGAAAGAAATTTTGTAAATTACTTTTAGAAATGATAAATTGAACCGTATGCTTCAATAAGCTGTACAGTATAAACTGGACAAGTAGTAATAGTAATTAATGGCACCCCAGGAGTAAACTGGCAATTTTTATAGTCGCTGAAAAATCATTTCTTGATACTCATTCCACTAATATAAACCCACTTCATACTGTGGTGAGAACTGGATTTGTACTGACAATGTTTACAGTACAGTGATAATGGTTAATTTGTATGCTTACAAACTTAGAGTACTAAGCTATATCAGTAAACATCATTTTAGGCACATAGGATTATTCCCAATGAGCTATATGTCCAATCCACTTCTGATGGGAACTGTTACTTGAACGGTTGGTTTGTTTTTGTTTTGGAATCCATGACATCTGAAATGTCTGTTAATTGCCAATATGGATGCATTTCTTAATTTTCCTCATTTAGCAGCATCCTGCCAAGAAGATAATATGTACCTAGAATTTAGCAAGCTGTTCCAAGTAATTATTTAGTAACATTGAAATTTTGGTCTTAATAAGTCCACAAGGAGTTTTGTAAAACTGGCTCAAACAAACTACTTTTGCATTTATTAAAAAAAAAAAGAACAGCAGTCAACAAAGATGTAGGATTACGTGTTAGTAACTTACCCAGAGATTGAGTATATTATATTAAAATTATTTTGGAGCCTCACCACTTCATAACAGTTCATGTCACCACATTCAATTATAGTCTATTCAATAAATGTGCATCTTGACAAGTCTCACATAATAGTTTTCAATAAAAAAGGCTCCACTCCAGGATTGTAATGCCAAATGCACACCACTCCTCCCTGCAGACTTTCCATAGTTCATAGTTCCCAACACCAATTTAAACAGGTCAATCACACAGGTGTTGCATTCAAAAATTTGAGCAGTATGTCTTTGTAGGGAATACCACAAATACCCATTTCATTTTCCAGCTGTTTGAGGTATGCGACAGTTGAATGGATATGCCACAGAAGGAACTTGTGTAGATGTGACTTGTCACTTTTCCAAGACAGTGTTCTTGATTATGTTGTACACTGTTGACTAGGGCATGGATATGGCTTTTATAACTGACCTTTGTGTTCATGGATTATCACCTGTTACAAGATGTTGGGGTACAACTTGTTGCAGATCTTTTTCTGGATGGTCCTGGTGTCCCATATTCATCCATAGTTCTTTAATTTCCAATGCCATTAAACACAAGTGATATCCTCATCTTGGAAATTCTAAATCCCCAAATTAAATACATCATTATGATTTAAGTGTATGAATAATAGACATGAGAAAAGACTGTTAGATGTCTTTTCTAAAAGAGATCAATTTTCTGTGGCACCACACTACCTACAAAACACCAAACAATATCAAAACGTAGTTCTTGATACATGCCATTCTAACACAACTTTATATCAACTGCGTCACATGACTTGCTGATTTGCATATTCAAAATTGTTTGAATACAATGTACTCAACCTTCTTTAGATACAGTTGATCTAAAAATAGAATCAGGCCAATCAATCATTCAAGTAATGATTAATGTAATTACTCTAATCAGCCCACCATTAAAAGAAAGTGGACTGAAATACTATCTAATCACTGAGACAGAGTTGTCCATCGTTAATTGAGAAACACCACTGTACTCTTATTTATTTTAATGCCACCTGTTTTCCTAGTAATGCCATGATTTTCCTTACGTATGTATATATATATATATATATACACACATATATAATGTGGTACATGATATTAACCCTGTATCAGTGTAATACGACAGCAATGTTTGACAAGTTGTTGAACATATTAACAAAAAACAATATAAATAAATTAATAAGAAATATAGAACATTTCTATGAGATAGAAAG